ACCAGGCCCCAGAGGAAGGGGAGGGAGGGACCGGGGAAGACCAGAGACAAGGACACGGGAAGCCATGCCTTGGAGACGAGGCAGGGAGGGGTGACCATGACGGTGGTGCCACAGGAGTGTCTTGTGAGACAGGAGGCGACACGAGCAGGGGGCAGACTCAGGACCAGTCGTGGACGCTGCAGCAGACACATGACCCGACGTAGCTACCTGGTCAGACGCAGGGACAGGAGGAGACTCAATGGTCAGGGTGTAGAGGCTCGACCCCGGCGGACGCGTAAACGTGGCCAGGTGCCTGCCTGTGCGAGCGTCCGAGCAGTGGGTCACCATGAGAAACTTAGAACGAGAATGAAATGACTAAGTGAAAGTTGGGTACAAATACAACCCTAGAAAGCTGTACCCCATATGTGCTACCCCACTACAGCCTACAACAGCTATGTCATACAAATCTGACACCTTATTCGGCCGGGTGTGGTCGATTGCGTGAACCGGCACAATCACTCGGTGAGGGTCGGTTGGGTCGGGCGAGCGGCGTGACCTGTCAGTAGAGGGCTCGTCTCCAACTGACTCCCACCGTTTCCCTGCTGCTTGGTCTGTTTCTGCTGCTCAACTTCCCCCTTTCCCTAAGCGTTTTCTAGGCATTCACTCTTACGGTGTCCCCGCCGATTGCACGTGAAGCAGCGCCCTTTGAACGGTGCGGCAGCGGCATTCGCAGCGATGGCACGTATCGTAGCGCCCTCGTTTGTCCCACGAGGCCAATGTCCCCAGTTGCTGCTTCCGTAGGACCCCGGTCTTGGTCGGCGGAAGAAGTCAAGTTTCTTTGCCATAGCGAGAATTTCTTGAAAGTCGGTGACGCCGCGAAGCTGGATTTCCTCAGCGATGTCCTGCTTCAGGTTGCCGATGTAGCGGTCGATGCGCTCGCTCTCGTGCATGTAACCCACTTGCTCGCATAGCGCCAGAAATCCGCTCGTGTAGTCTTGGACGGAACCGAGTTGGCGCCAAGTGCGGAGCTTCTGTCGCGCCGCGATCGAAGCTGCAGTTGGCTCAAACCAAGCGCGCAGACCTGCGCACCACGCGTCCCACATGCGATATTGGGGCACCTCCACGAAATACGACAGCGCCCAGGATCCGGTTTGTCCTTCCCGTGTCTGTAGAGTCGCTTAGTCCACCGGCTTCGTGACGATGACACGCCACCAGTCCATGGTGCGTCCTCGCAACAGAGACACGGCGTACCAAATCTTCGCCGTATCCTCCGAGACGTAGTTGGCGTCGAAAAAAACGTTCATCGTGAACAACCATGCCTGAACGGTAGGACCACCCCGTTGACTCAAATTGAAGCCTGGCGGACGCTGCCGCTTCAGCAGCATCGGCGTCGGCAGTATTGATTCGACGGCCGACATGGAAATTGTGACTCGAGGCTGACTTCTGGCCGCATTCGTCGCTTCGGGGTTTGTCGTGTCGTGGTCGTCGTCTCCGTCGTGGCGGACGCACCATCACTGGCCACGCTCGCGGGTTCCCCCAAGCATCAATGTTGCGATGTCTGTGGTGCGGGTTGTATCAGAATGCCGGGTGCTTGAGATTGTGCTTGCTGTGCTCTTGCATTGTCGTTTTGCAGGGACGTATGTTCTGCCGTCAGCGCCGCGATTTCTTCTGAGCTTTCGCAGATTTGCCGCAGCAATTCGTTCAAGTGCTACTGCGTGAGAGTTGTGAGATCGAAGTGCTCGGCCATAAAGAAGGGCGTCGGTTCGGCTTAGTCTAGGCGCAGTCGTGGCTGCACGCGTTTAAGAGAGAACGCGAGGACAGCGGCTTGTCAAATTATAATATTGTGTAGGCTATAGTGGGGTAGCCTATATGGGGTACACATTTCTAGGGTTGCATATTTGTATCACTTCCATTCCTTAGTCATTCATTCTCGTTCTACTTTCCTCATGGTATCGAGCAGGTTCCCCCGTGGGACCTGTGGCCCACCACATCGAGATTTTTTTTTCTTGCCCGAAGCGCGCTCAGCCCAAGTCGCGCTCCGGGCTCTCACCTCGTCGAGCCGCCCTAGCGGCCCCCAACGCCCTAGCGGCCCCGCCGCCCGTCAATTTGGCCCCGCCGCCCTTTGCAGTGAGAATATTAGAAGGAAGAAAGAGGGTTGAACTAGCAGGAATGAGGATACAAATAGCAAAGCCCTATAAGGGTTGTACTCGCTATAGAGCACCCCACTACAGGCTAGAGCATAAGATAATATTCTGACACACCCCCATAGCCAAAGTGGGGTGTAATCAGCAGAGCAAGCAAAGCAGTACAAGCTCAGGGTGGATCACAATGTCACCACACATTCTGAGCACAAGTTCAAGAAGCAATAGTTTAAAGTTCACAATTATGAGCAAAGCTAGTGGTAGTCACAACGGGCAAGTGAGGAGGAGGAGAGAGAGTGAGAGGAGAGGAGATAGGAGGCGACGGCTGAAGCTGCAGACACACGGGCACCAGGAGGCAGACTGGCACAACGGCTACCGGGCGAAGCCCCTGGAATACTGGAGTAACAGGCCCCGCGGCTAAAGTAGCGGCAGACGAGCAACGGACCCACGGGCGGCTGGCACAGCTGGCTACGACTGGGCTACCGGACGAAGTCCCCGGACTACAGGTGCTGCTGGCGACACGACGGCAACCTCTGTGCAACTTCCCCAAACAGTCCCACCCCCCGACACACACCCGCTGCTACACCCCTAGCTCCACTCCCACGCACCCCCCTTAAACCCTAAACCCCAGTCTCCCACTCATCCACCCCCCTCAGCGACAGCTGCAGCAGTGGGAGACGAAGGAGGAGGAGGAGCAAAGGGAGGGATGAGGAAGTGCCACCCCCATACTCGCCACCCCCTGCTTGCCACCCCCAAACCGGAACACAGACAGGGGGGGATGGCGGGTAGGCAGGGTGGGATGGCGGCGCTCGCCCCCCTCCCCCAGGTAAATCCTCGAGGGTCGCCTCGACAGGCGACGGGAAATGGGGCCGGGGCGCAAGGAGGGCAGCGGGGCCACAGGTGAGGGCGGCGGGGCCGCGTAGGTGAGGGCGGCGGGGCCGCGTAGGTGAGGGCGGCGGGGCCGCGTTGGTGAGGGCGGCAGGGCCGCGTAGGTGAGGCGGCGGGGTCGCATAGGTGAGGTGGCGGGGCCGCGTAGGTGAGGGCGGCGGGGCCGCGTTGGTGAGGGCGACGGGGCCGCGTAGGAGTGGGCGGCGGGGCCGCAAAGTGAGGGCGGCTGAGGCCGCGAGATGAGGGCGGTGGAGGCCGCGAAGTGAGGGCGGGGGGGGGCGCGTAGCTGAGGTCGGCGGGGCCGCGAGGTAAGGACGGCAGGGCCGTGAACGTAGGGTGGCGGGGCCGCGACGGGTAGGTGGCGGGGCCGCAACCGTAGGTAGCGGGGCCGCGACCGTAGGTGGCGGGGCCGCGAAGGTAGGTGGCGGGGCTGCGTAAGGTAGGGCGGCGGGACCGCGAAGGTAGGTGGCGGGGCCGCGACCGTAGGTGGCGGGGCTGCGAAGGTAGGTGGCGGGGCCACGTAAGGTAGGGCGGCGGGACCGCGAAGGTAGGTGGCGGGGCCGCGACCGTAGGTGGCGGGGCCGCGAAGGTAGGTGGCGGGGCCGCGTAAGGTAGGGCGGCGGGACCGCGAAGGTAGGTGGCGGGGCCGCGTAAGGTAGGCGGCGGGGCCGCGACCGTAGGTGGTGGGGCCGCGAAGGTAGGCGGCGGGGCCGCGAAGGGTCCCCGTCGCCCGTCGCAGCGCCTCCAGAGGGCGACGCGGCGAACGACGGGGCAGAAGCCCGCCGCGCGCCTCGGGGCGCACAGTGGGCAGAGAACCGCCGCGCGCCTCGGGGCGCACGGCGGGAAGGAAAAATTGCAGCAGAAGCGAGGAGGTGGTAACCCACCCACAGGATCGATCCAAAGGGATCGACCTGCTCTGATAGCATGACAAAATTAGAAGGAAGAAAGAGAGTTGAACTAGCAGGAATGAGGATGCAAATAGCAAAACCCTAGAAGGGTTGTACTTGCTATAGAGCACCCCACTACAGGCTAGAGCATAAGATAATATTCTGACATGCAGCGGCCCCGCCGTGCTTTGTTGTGGCCCCGCCGCCTCTCTCGCTCCGGCCCCGCCGCCCTTCCCAGCGGCCCTACCGCCCTTCGCTGCGGCCCCGCCGCCCCACATTGCAGCCCCGCCGCCCTTCTTCGCGGCCCTGCCGCCCTTCACTGCGGCTCCACCGCCTCACATTGCGTCCCCCCCGCCCTTCGCTACGGCCCCGCCGCCCGTCTCAGCGGCCCCGCCACCCTTCTTCGCGGCCTCGCCGCCCTTCACTGCGGCCCCGCCGCCTCACGTTGCGGCCTTGCCGCCCTTCGCTGCGGCCCCGCCGCCCGTCTCAGCGGCCCCGCCGCCCGTCTCAGTGGCCCCGCCGCCCGTCATAGCGGCCCCGCCGCCCGTCTCAGCGGCCCCGCCGCCCTTCGCTGCGGCCCCGCCGCCCTACTCAACGGCCCCGCCGCCCTTCTATGCGGCCCCGCCGCCTTTCTCAGCGGCCCCGCCGCCCTTCTCAGCGGCCCCGCCGCCCTTCACCAGCGGCCCTGCCGCCCCTTCACTGCGGCCCCGCCGCCCCTTTTACAAGCGGCCCTGTCGCCCTACACCGCCCGCGCCGCCCGAGCCGCCCGAACCGCCCGAGCCTCCCGAGCCGCCCGACCTGCCCGAGCCGCCCAAGCCGCCCGAGCCGCCCGACTCGCCCGAGCCGCCCGAGCCGCCCAACCAGCCCGAGCCGCCCGAGCCGCCCGAGCTGCCCGAGCCACCCGAGCTGCCCGAGCCGCCCGAGCCGCCTGAGGAGCCGAGCCGCTGGTGCCACAGAGCTGCAGTTGCTGCTGCGCCGTTCGAGCAGCCGTGTTGCCGTGTTGCTGTACTGCTGAGCTGCCCAACCCGCCCTGTCTGGTGAGAGCAGCGCTTCCGTCACTACACTGCCCCTGTCCTACAGTTGGTACTACTAGTCTACTGCTGTCATGGCTACCCCCAGTGTTCTCGCTTTTGACGCTGAGGGTCGAGCCATTAACTTTGAGGTTTGGGTAGATGACCTGCAGCTTTTCCTACAGTGTGACAGGGCAGACGGTCTCTCCCTCTTTCATCTCACCTCTGGCGCCTCTCCTGCCCTTGCTGCTGACGCTGACGCCACTGTTCACTCCCAGTGGGCCACGCACGATGCTGCTGCACGTCTTGCTGTGCGTCGCCACCTGCCTACCACAAAGCGCGCACACTTTAGTCAGTACAAGAGTGCTCAGACCTTGTACGACGCTGTAGTTGCGCGCTACTCTTCCCCTGCCACTGCTGCACTGAGCCGCCTCATGCTACCGTACCTCTTTCCTGACCTTGCTGCCTTTCCCACAGTTGCTGACCTCATTACGCACCTCCGCACTAGTGACACTCGCTATCGTGCCGCGCTTCCTGCTGAGTTCTGCGCCAAGAAACCCCCCCACCATGTACATCACTCTCTATTATATAGTCAGGGACCACTTCCTCTCTGTCTGTCCCACCACTCTCACCGTTCACCTCCTAGAGAAGGCCCTCCTAGCAGCGGAGAAGAGCATAGTCGCTGTAGGAGCCTCTCGTGGTGACCCTCGCACCCCCATCTTTGAGAGGTGTTCCCCTTCCCCCCTGTTGCCCTCTGTCGCCTCTGCTGCTGCGGCCAACCTCGTTGGTCTTGAGTCGGTCGGTGCGGCGTCTGCCCCTAGCGGGAGACGCCGCTCTGGCTAGGGCAAGGGGGGCAAGGGCGCGGTTGGAGCTAGTGGGGGTGGTGGAGGTGGCGGTGGAGGCGGCGGAGGGAGTGGGGGTGGCGGTGGGAGTGGTGGCGGGGGTGGAGGTGTCAGTGGCAGCAGCGGAGGCGGAGGCGGCGGAGGCGGTAGCGGTGGGAGCGGAGGCGGCGGTGGTGGCAGAGGTGGAGGCAGCGGTGGCGGAGGAGGTGGAGCTGGTTGGGGTGGTGCTTCGCAGCGGAGCGGCTCCGGTGGTGGTCAGCGCCAGCAGCAGCAGCAGCGTTCTCGGGACATCCCCCCTCCTCAGCAGCTCCGTGAGTGGTACACGCAGCGTCAGCGTGGTGGGGTTTTTGGTCCGTGCACCTACGTCCTTCACTCCGGCGACCGCGGGGGTGAGCAGTGTGGGGGTGCCCACCCCACCCAAGGCTGCTTTGGCCGCCTGATGGACGCTTGGCGTCAGCAGTTCCCAGAGGCTGGTGAGATCCCCCGCTGGGGAGAGCTGTCTAGGGCAGGTGTTGCTATCTATGATCTTGACTTTGATGCTATCCTTGCTGCCATGTATGCTGTGACTATTAGTGATGAGGGTGACTGTTACCGGTGTTTCCCGCCCAACCCGGGCATTGGTACTGCTGCGCTAGGTGCTAGTGAGGCTACTGCTCTAGGTGCCAGTGCGTCTGCGCCCTCAGGTACTGGTGAGGCTGCGCTCTCAGGTACCGCGTCGGCTTCGGCCTCCCTCACCTTCACACTTGACTCAGGGGCTTCTCGCTCCTTCTTTCGAGACTGCACCACACTCACGCCGCTTGGTCGGCCGGTTGCAGTCTCCCTGGCAGACCCCTCTGGGGGTCCTGTCCTCTCTCACTTCTCTACTGTCCTCTCGTGTCCGGCTGCCCCCTCGGGCACCTTGTCTGGTCTTTACCTCCCCTCGTTCTCTACGAACTTGGTGAGTGGTGCTGATCTCCAGGATGCAGGGGTTCACCTGTTTACTCCTGCGAGTCAGCGGGTGACCCACTACTCGGACGCTCGCACAAGCCGGCACTTGACCACGTTTACGCGTTGGCAGGATCGAGCCTCTACATCCTGACCACTGAGTCTCCTCCTATCCCTGCGTTTGGCCAGGTAGCTGCGTCGGGTTAGGTGTTTGCTGCAGCGTCCTGGTCAGGTCCTGAGTCTGCCCCCTGCTCGTGTCGCCTCCTGTCTCACGAGACTCTCCTGTGGCACCACCGTCTTGGTCACCCCTCCCTGCCTCGTCTCCAAGGCATGGCTTCCCGTGTCCTTGTCTCTGGTCTTCCCCGATCCCTCCCTCCCCTTCCTCCAGGGCCTCGTCCTTCCTGTGTCCCTTGTGTCGAGGGGCGGCTCCGGGCTGCCCCTCACTCCTCTCAGTTTCCCCCGACAGAGGCCCCGCTGCAGACGCTTCACATGGACGTGTGGGGCCCGGCCCGCGTCCGTGGACAGGGTCACGAGCGCTACTTCCTGTTGGTGGTTGACGACTACTCGCGTTACACCACAGTCTTCCCCTTGCGCAGCAAGGGTAATGTCACTGAGGTGTTGATCGACTGGATCCGCGCAGCTCGTCTCCAGCTCAGGAGGAGCTTCGGCTCGGACTTTCCTGTTCTGCGTCTGCACTATGACCGAGGCAGAGAGTTCTCCTCTGGCCTTTTGCGAGCCTACTTCCGTGCGCGAGGCATCCGCCAGACTTTTAAGCTTTCGAACTCTACACAGCAAAATGGGATTGCTGAGCACCGCATTGGCATGGTCATGGACGTCGCTCGTACGTCCATGATGCATGCGGCTGCCCCCCATTTTCTGTGGCCGTTTGCGGTTCGGTACGCGGCGCATCAGATCAACCTTCACCCAAGGGTCTCCAGGCCGGAGACCTCCCCATCCTTGCTGTGGACGAGGAAGGTTGGCGATGCGTCTGTGTTCCGTGTCTGGGGATCTCGGGCGTTTGTCCGCGACTTGTCTGCGGACAAGCTGTCCCCTCGTGCTGCTCTTTGTGTCTTCCTAGGCTTCCCCCTTGACGCCCCTGGGTGGCAGTTCTACCACCCCACCTCTCATCGTGTTCTATCCTCCCAGGACGTAACGTTCGATGAGTTAGTCCCCTACTACCACCTCTTCCCCTACCGCACTCCTTTCCTCCCCCCGCCACCGCACTTCCTTGTGACAGGTCCCCCCCCGGTAGACCCACTCCCCCCTCAGGGTCCTGCCCCTTCAGGTGTGTCCCAGGTAGACGCGGTCGAGCCGGTCGAGGTTGCTGGTGACTCTGGTACTGCTGCGGGTGCTGAGCCTGGGGGTGCTAAGTCTGGGGGTGGTGCAACTGGTGGTGCTGAGCCTGGGGGTGCTACGACTGGGGGTGCTGAGCCTGGGGGTACAGCGACTGGGGGTGCTGAGCCCGGGGGTGCTACGACTGGGGATGCTGAGCCTGGGAGTCCTTTGCCTGGGGGTGCTACGTCTAGAGCTGCTCCGCCTGAGGGTGCGGAGCCAGCGGCCGCTGGACCTGCTCGTGTGGCGTCTAGCGGTGCTGGGCCTGGCGGTTCTCCTGGTTCTTCTCTGCGGGAGCCAATCTCCCCACAGGAGCTACGCGAGTGGTTTGCCCGCGCTGGAGGCGTACTGCTGGAGCTGGAGCTTATTCGGTCACTGTGGGTGCTGGTACCGCTGGTCCCGGAGGTGCTCTTTCGACTGGAGCTGGAGCTGCTGAGGGTGTTGGTGCTAAGGCTACTGTTGTCAGTCCTGACGGCGGTCCCGCTGTGGGTGCTGCTGGAGCTGCTGGAGGTACTGCAACTAGAGGTGCTGTTGGCGTTGGTGCTGCCGCTGAGGGTGCGGGTGCTGTCCCTTCTGTGTCTGGAGTCGCCGCGCGGCCTCGACCGTACTTCGTTCCGCTCCTTCAGCAGGTTCTTGGTCTTTCTCCTCCTGTAGAGTGTCCACCACCTGTCTAGTCACAGTCACAGTTACCGCCGGCCTCCCCACTGCCTGCTCCCTCTCCTTACACTGGTCCTACTGGAGGTCTTGCTGAGCGTCGTGAGCCTGCGTCTCGTCCGGCGTCGCTTGTTCGTGTTGCTCACGCCAGTGGTCGCGGTTCGCGTCAACGTCCTCCTCCTGTCCCTGGCACGCACCGGATGTCTCTGCGTCTGTCCACTGCTCCTCTGCGTGTCCCTTTGCCTTCTCCTCTTGAGTCCTCTCTTCATGAGCTTGCCGACCTGAAGTCGGACTCTCTTCGTGCTTCAAGCCCTACTATCACGCGTCTCCTTGCTACTCTCGACACTGACCCCTCTTTTGAGTCCACTGCTGTGTCTGCTCTTAATGCTGAGCTTGTCGACTTTGCTGCTCGCTGTCGTCTAGACTACACTGCTAGTCTTGTTTCTGAGTCTGCGTCTGTCTGTCCTCCGTCCGTTGGGGGTGAGTGTGCTCTTGGCACCGACGTCCTTGAGGACAGGCAGGAGGAGTTCCAGTGTCTGGCTGCTGCTTCACCTCATCTCGCGTCCGTACTGCTTACCCCTGAGGGAGACCCGGATGCACTAGACATCCTGACTCCGCGCTCTTACGCGGAGGCCGTAGAGTGTCCCTACTCCTCTCAGTGGCAGGCAGCTATGGATGCAGAGATGGCTTCTTGGAAGTCCAGAGGCACCTACGTTGACGCGGTTCCCCCTCCTGGTGCGAACATCGTCAGTGGCATGTGGATCTTCGGGGTGAAGCGGCCGCCGGGCTCTCCACCTGTCTTCAAGGCGCGGTACGTGGCTCGTGGCTTCAGTCAGCGGCAGGGAGTTGACTACTTTCGGACCTTACCTTCTCTCCCACCCCGAAGATGACCACTCTTCGGGTGCTGCTACACATAGCCGCTCAGCGTGACTACGAGCTTCACTCCCTTGACTGTAGCACTGCTTTCCTGCAGGGTAGCCTGCACGAGGAGATCTGGCTGCGCCGTCCACCTGGCTTCACTGGGACATTCCCTCCTGGCACCCAGTGGAGCCTCCGGCGGCCAGTCTACGGTCTCCGCCAGGCACCGCGCGAGTGGCACGACACACTGAGGACTACGCTTGCGGCTCTTGGGTTTGCTCCCTCTACTGCTGACCCGTCACTGTTTCTGCGCACCGACACCTCTCTGTCGCCGTTCTACATCCTCGTGTACGTCGACGACTTGGTCTTTGCCACACCTGACACTGCTGGACTCGCCCACGTGAAGTCCGAGCTGCAGAAGAGACACACGTGCACAGACCTGGGTGAACTGCACAGCTACCTTGGCTTGCAGATCACCCGGGACAGAGCACGCCGCACCATTACCCTGACTCAGTCACACATGGTGCAGCATGTCCTTCAGCGCTTCAGCTTCACGTACTCCTCGCCTCAGGCCACTCCTCTGTCTACTCGCCACTCGCTCTCAGCTGTGCCTTCGGATGAGTCCGTAGAGTCGAGTGGCCTGTACCCAGAGCTTGTTGGCTGCCTGATATACCTGATGACCTGCACACGACCTGACCTGGCATACCCTCTTAGCATTCTTGCACGCTATGTTGCTCCTGGGAGACATAGACCAGAGCAGATGGCTGCAGCGAAGAGGGTGTTGCGCTACTTGTGCAGTACGTCGGGCATGGGGCTACTTCTTGGAGGGTGGAGTCCAGTGGTCCTCACTGGGCATGCGGGCGCTTCTTGGGCTGACGACCAGGCTACGCAGCGGTCGTCACAGGGTTACACCTTCAGCCTTGGTTCCGGCTCTGTTTCGTGGCGGGCTACTCGCTCGTCTTCTGTTCTCGGCTGCAGTTGTGAGGCTGAGATCTACGGCGGGGCCATGGCTGCATAGGAGCTTTGCTGGCTCACCTACCTGCTGACCGACCTTGGAGAGCCGTCTCGTTCTCCTCCAGTGCTGTACGTAGACAACAAGGCCATGCTGGCCTTGTGTGGATAGTAGAGACTGGAACACAGAACAAAGCACATTGGTCTTTGCTCCTTCCTTGCTCGTGAGCTAGAGCTGCGTGGTCAATTGTGGCTTGCATACGTGGCCTCTGAGGCCAACACTGCTGATGTTTTCACCAAGGCACTTCCTGTCAGAACATATAGCTTACTTGTTTCTGTAGGCTATAGTGGGGTATCCCATAGGGGGTACAACACAATTAGGGTTTCCTATTTTTATTCACTTCACTTCATAGTCATTCATTCTCGTTCTTTGATTTCACATGGAATCAGAGCAGGTTCCCTCCTAGGGACGGCTTCTAGGGCCCACCGAACCGCGCCCCGAGGCGCGTTTTTTTTTTTTTTTTTAGCGACCCGTCGTGTCGCCCCTAGCGGCCCGTTGCGCCGCCCTTCTGCTACACGGCCCCGCCGCCCTCTGCCACGCGGCCCCGCCGCCCTCTGATACGCGGCCCCGCCGCCCTTCGATTGCGGCCCCGCCGCCCTCTGCTACGCGGCCCCGCCGCCCTCTGCTACGCGGCCCCGCCGCCCTCTGCTACGCGGCCCCGCCGCCCTATGCTACGCGGCCCCGCCGCCCTCTGCTACGCGGCCCCGCCGCCCTTCGATCGCGGCCCCGCCGCCCTCTGCTACGCGGCCCCGCCGCCCTCTGCTACGCGGCCCCGACGCCCTCTGCTACGCGGCCCCGCCGCCCTCTTCGGTCGCGGCCCCGCCGCCCTTCGATCGCGGCCCCGCTGCCCTCTGCTACGCGGCCCCGCCACCCTCTGCTACGCGGCACCGCCGCCCTCTGCTACGCGGCCCCGCCGAGCCGCCCAGCATCAGCCGAGCCGCCCAGCAGCAGCCGAGCCGCCGCCGAGCCGCCGCCGCCTGAGCCGCCGCCCGGGCCACCTGAGCCGCCGCCCGAGCCGCCGCCGAGCCGCCGCTGAGCTGCAGCCGAGCCGCCGCCCGAGCAGCCCGAGCCGCCCGAGCCGCCCGAGCCGCCCGAGCCGCCCGAGCCGCCCGAGCCGCCTGAGGAGCCGTGCTGCTGTTCCTGAGCTGTGTTCCTCTGCTGCTGACCTACCCGACTCTCCCAGCCCGGTGAGACTTTCAGCTGCTGCCATGGCCACCCCCAATGTTCTTACTTTTGACGCTGAGGGGAGGGCCATTGACTTTGCCGTCTGGATTGAAGACCTGCAGCTGTACTTACTCTGTGATGCGATAGATGAGGTCTCTCTCTTTGACTTTGTCTCTGGCGCTGTCCCTGCCCCACCTGCTGATGCTGACTCTGCCGTTCGCTCCAAGTGGGCGACCCGCGATGCTGCTGCACGTCTTGCTGTGCGTCGCCACCTCCCTTCCTCTGAGCGTGCCCACTTTAGTCAGTGCAAGACCGCTCAGGCCTTGTACGACGCTGTAGTTGCACGCTACTCCTCCCCTTCCTCCGCTACCCTTAGCCGCCTCATGCTACCGTTTCTCTTCCCTGACCTCGCTTCCTTTCCCACTGTCGCTGACCTCGTTACCCACCTCCGTGCTAGTGACACCCGCTACCGCGCTGCCCTTCCTGCTGAGTTCCGCGCTGCGAACCCTCCTCCCATGTACATCACTCTCTACTTTCTCGTCACCCGTCTCCCTGAGTCCCTTCGTGTCGTTAGGGACCAGTTTCTCTCTGTCTGTCCCACCACTCTCACTGTCTACCTCCTTGAGGAGTCCCTGCTAGCGGCTGAGAAGAGTATTGTCGCTGTAGGGGCCTCTCGGGGTGACCCTCGCACCCCCATCTTTGAGGGGTGTGGTCCTTCCCCCCTGCTGCCCTCTGTCGCCTCTGCCGCTGCGGCCGACCTCGCTGGTTTTGAGTCGGTCGGCGCGGCGTCTGCCCCCAACGGCAGACGCCGCTCTGGCAAGGGCAAGGGGGGCAAGGGAGCGGGTGGAGCTAGAGGGGGCGGTGGAGGAGGCGGTGGGGGTGGCGGGGGGAGTGGGGGTGGCGGTGGGGGTGGTGGCGGGAGTGGAGGTACTGGTGGCGGCGGTGGAGGCGGAGGTGGCGGCGGAGGTGGTAGCAGAGGAGGCGGTGGAAGCGGTGGGAGCGACGGTCCTGGTGGGGGAGGTGGCGGTGGAGACGGGGGTGGCGGTGGAGGCGGGGGTGGCGGTGGAGGCGGGGGTCGGAGTGGCTCGTCCCAGCGGAGCAGCTCTGGGGGTGGTCAGCGCCAGCAGCAGCAGCAGCAGCAGCCGCAGCAGCAGCCACAGCAGCAGCAGCGCTCTCGCACCGTCCTCGCCCCTCAGCAGCTCCGTGAGTGGTACTTGCAGCGTCAGCGTGGTGGTGCACTTGGTCCTTGCCCCTACGTTCTTCGCACCGGTGACCGTGCGGGGGAGAGGTGTGGAGGCGCCCACACAGCCCGCCGCTGCTTTGGCCGCCTGACCGACGCCTGGCGTCAGCAGTTTCCGGAGGCCGCTGAGATCCCCCGCTGGGGAGAGATGTCTAGGGCTGGTGTAGCTATTTATGATCTTGATTTTGATGCTATTCTCTCTGCTATGTATGTTGTGACTGGTAGTGATGAGGATGACTGTTACCGGTGTTTCCCGCCCGACCCGGGCATTGGTACTGCCGCGTCAGGTACTAGTGAGGCTGCTGCTCTAGGTGCCAGTGCGTCTGTGCTCTCAGGTGCTGGTGAGTCTGCCCTCTCAGGTACTATGTCGGCTTCGGCCTCTCACACCTTCACCCTTGACTCTGGAGCGTCTCGCTCCTTCTTTAGGGACCGCACCACTCTCACGCCGCTGAGTCGGCCGGTTGCGGTGTCCCTGGCTGACCCCTCTGGGGGGCCTGTCCTGTCTCGCTTCTCCACTGTCCTCCCGTGTCCGGCGGCCCCCTATGGCACCCTGACTGGTCTCTACCTCCCCTCGTTCTCGACGAACTTGGTGAGTGGTGCTGACCTCCAGGATGCGGGTGTCCACCAGTTCACCCCTGCTCGTCAGCGGGTGACCCACTGCACGGAGGCGGATACAGGTCGCCACCTGGCTACGTTTACACGTCGACCAGGGTCGAGCCTGTACAC